TTCCCTACATCATAAGCATTTTTTAAAAGGAAATCTAAACATTACATTAACTCAGGATCCTCCAATTTCTTGGCGGCAAGAAGTGATAGCAACTCCATAAAGGTTAAACTGGCATGCTTAGGGCCCTTAGTGAAATTAAGTCTTCTACCAAGTGTATGATGCTCCAGAAGACAAAGTTTTACCTGTATGAATAAACTGAATGTACACTTCAATACATTCATGTGTGCGGGCCACTTAAGGTATTATAAGGTCTGGTACCAAACAATAAAAATGCAGAAGGAACTATCAAATTCATCAAGCTGCTGCAACAAATTCAGATGCTCTCCAGAGCTGGCAAGGTGATGTCAAGAAAGTTAAACTTGAAGAATGAGACTTGGATTTCTAAATGAGATCAGGGAAAAGAGAAACAGAGTTAATAGGGAAATCAAGACTGAAACAATCAACATTACAGCTATGTTTGGAGGAGAGTTTAAAATCAATTCTTTCTGCTCGTTCTAAAATTGTTCTGCCAAAAAACTGACATTGTTATGTGCTTTTTATTTAGGTTTATTTAGTCTTCTTTAACATAGCTGCTGTTAGTTCAGCAATCTAATATTGGGGTACATTACTGCAAAATAAGGACATAGCTGTAGAGTTATGTCATCGACACATTGGTTAATCCTATCCTTTTCATAAGACAAAGCAGTTTGTTAATACTGTCTTGGACTACCTGTATTTGTGAAGGTACTTATAATGAGTGGTACATACTAAATTTAGGGAATTTGCTGCTTGCTACCTGTCTTTAAAGTATAGTTTAATAGTTTCCTCAAAATAGTAGCATTCCATAATTAAAACAGATGAAGCAATATTTTAGTATAATGTTAGGCAGTAGTAAAAATTACCTCATCTAAATAAACGTTCACATATACATAAACACTAGCATGCATTAAAAAGTTAAGAAACATTAAAATTCTGTGAAATTAATATATAAATAAAATATGACCTGGAATAAAATTACCATTATGTATAAAAAAGGAAAAACAGACTTCCCTTCCCAAATCTGTTGATTTTAACATCTTATAAACTTACATTTGGAGTATAAGGGTTATTTTGAATTTGAAAAACATTAAAGAATAGTATGATCCAACTTCTTAGAAAAGGCAGTGTGTATTAATTAATTTTGAAGAATTATGTTCATTCTAATGTTAAAGAGACATCCTTTTGAGTTTCCTTAAAGAAATATTTGTAATATCTTTTATTAAGAAAAATGCAGCTTTAACATAGTAATTGTGTTTTTTATATTATTTGAAAATGTTAGAAAAATATCGTGACATTATTCTAAGATATATGAATGTCTTTAGTATTGTTATTTAAGGAGTGAAATACTTAATCTAATATTGTAAATATTCTATTTCAAGCACATACTTTTTTCTCTGTCTTCATTCTCATTGGCATTGCTTCCTGTTTCTTTTATTTTCCAACATCTCCTTAGTTTCCTTTTCCCAATAGTCCTGACTTTTCTACATATCTTACTGCACTAGATAAATATTACAATCTTTCAATTTTTACTTCATTTTCATAAACGATGGCTTCTATTAAGTGGATGGCCAACTGAAATTCCTCTTTTACCTTTTAAAAAAATGTTTTCTTCTTAAAATATAAAGTAGTTACATCTTTAGCTTAAATACATTTGTATATTATATATCACACACTTAGATTCACAGAGTTCTGAGGAAATTCAATATTTTACTGGTACTCTATCCTACAAGCTTATGGAATGACAAAAAAATTAATCACATTTCATGACTAGCATCCTAAGTAGCCTATGGTTTTTCTGACTAAGCCAAATTGGTCAGCGTTTTTTAACTGCTCCATTTCTTCTTCTGGGCAATGTTGGAGAAATTCTACAGAAACAGAACCTAAGAGCAAATTAAAAGGGAGCCCCTGACGGGTTGCCTTCACAGTAAATCTTGGTCACGTGTGTGCTGCTGCTATGTAGTAAATGATTACTGCTTGGACAATAACAAAGTAGCGAGTGGATGGTGCTGGAGATGCTGATGTGCAGGAGTTTGTTCTAAGCCCTGGTTCCTGATCTAAGTGAAGGCACAGGACCCGCACAGCAGCCTGTGCTGTTTAGGCAGTTTGGTCCACCTGGAGAACAGCTGGCTTCACCGGCTCTTCATCTGACTGCTCAGCGTCCTCAGAGGCCAGCACGTAGCCTCCCTCATAGCGCACCTTCTGTGCCTGTTCCAGGGCCACCGACTCTTCTCCCTCATCTTCCACAATAGCCAAGTCCACGTTGCTGTCCATGCCAGAGTTACTCCCTCTGGAGGCCGCCCTCCCAGCATCTCCCTCTGCTCCCTTCCCTTCCACCAGGTCGCTGGTGAGGGATGCTTCGGAATGACCCTCCGCGAAGGAGCTCTCCTCGTGATCATTCAGCATCTGGTCATTGCTAGGCATGTCTTCAGACTTGGTCTCATTTTCTGTCGTGCTTTCTCCCTCTCGGACTTTCTTTCGACCAAAAGTGAGGGGAGAGACTTTGAAGGGGGAGCTTTTCCCTGAGGATATTTTCTGATGACTGGAAGCGAGAGATTTCTTAATCTTCTCTCTCCTCTCTGCAGATACAATCTTCGTCCCCAGCTTGTTCATCTTTTTCTCGATGTTCTGGCGAGAAAATGCTTTCTTGAGGCTATCCACTTTTTGGAGGCTGGATCTTTTTATTTTTTCTGCCCTGCTTTCCTCCATCTTTTCCTCTGCACTGTCTTCCAGGGCCTCTTCGTCGTGGGGCAATTCATCCTCGGATGAGAGGTCCACCGTGTGCAAGGTTTCCTCCAGGGACTTGTTTTCATCAGCGAGGTCGTCCTTCCCTTCCACTGGCTTGGAAGCTGGTTCTTTCACAAACACACTGGCAGGGATCTCATTTTCATCCTGAAAAGATGGACAATGCAGATTTCATGTTAATAACACATTTCACAAATAGTCTTGAACTGCTGCAATTTGTGTATATGTGTTTTCAGCATGATAGAAACCCAACGTCTGTGGCTTCAGCTTTCTAGAGCATGGAGAGTTAATTTTAAATTAGTCAAGGCATCCCCCCTGCCCCCTCAGGATGGATAAGGCCAAGGACTGCCTATTGAAAAGATTATGAGGGCATCTGGAAAGGGCTCTATCAGTGACAGGCAGAGGGGGAAGTGGGCTGTGGCTCAGATAGACCAGGAAGCTGTCTAGATAACAGTGCTAAAGAAAGTTACTATGAACCCTCTCTTCTGCCCTTCCCTGTTCCTGCCAAAATCCCACTGCAAAAGAGCCTAGAGATCAAGTTGGAAGTTAAAAGATGGGGGCAGGGTGAGAACTGGGAGGTCCTCAAGTGTCAGACACCATGTAAAGCCTTGATCAGGTTCCCTCCCTAACTAGAAGTCAGAAGTAAAGGATATGGTCAACTTTAGTATCTGTTCGAGGGTACACACTAATTTTTCTGATGACATAATTTGAGAGGAAGACACACAAGGCCAAGCCTTATTGGGGACCCACTCACAAATCCTTTGGTTTAGTATATCCTTTGTGGGTGTTAGTAAGGAAAGGTAGCAAACTATGGTCATTTTTAGAGTAGTACAGGGGAAATATGCTGCCAAGTATGGCTTTTCAAATGTTTATTGTTAAACAGGGCTTCCAGGGGCAAGAATAATTTGGCCCCCACCTAGAGTTAAAAGTGAGGACAGCAGCTCAGGAATTTCTCTTCCTGCCCCCATCACTATATCCAGCTTGTAGGCATACAGGCAAAGATCTGCCTCTTGCCATACCTTGGAGAGCAGAGCCTGAGAACCTGCCTCCAGACTGTAAGGGAGATGGTTCTCCAGTGCTGCTAAGCAGGGAGACTTGAATTTAGACAGACCTGGATCACACTGTATAGAAATCCCTCTGAATTTTATATTTGCTTTGAATATTGAAAAATGAGAGCCAGCCAGCAAGGTGCCTCCACATTTTCATTGAAAGAAATGGCACAGTAGAAAGCATGTGTGACAGGAGGCCCAAGTCCCAGTCCTTGCTGTACTGCTAAATGGCTGTGTGACTGTTAGCAAATAACTTAATCTCCTTGGGTCTCAGGTTCTTCCAAATATGAACAAGAGGAATGGCCTAGATTAGCAGCTTTCAAACTGCACTCTCAGGACAGTAGGGGTTCTGTAGGAAGGCTGAGGTGGGCCAGGCTCCCAAACCCATGCCATCCTGGCTTCAACCAAGGCCGCAATGTTACACGATTATACTGCGGACTATCCAGTACTTTTCAGTTGGAAAAATAACCAGATGTAGTGAATGTAAAAGTCTGCCTTGATTGAAACTTCATGCAAAGTTCACATGAATGGTGAGAACTTCCCCTCTCATTCTGCAATGTTGATTGACTGAAAAATTGGGGTTATAATAATAATAATAAAAAAATGCTCTAACAGTAAGCCCGCATACTTTTTTAACTTCCTGCCACAAAGACTAAATGAACAGTTTTGATATAGAGAAACTTAAAAATTCCTCTCCTTATTACCATTGAATGGTATAATTATGATACTCTGAGAAGACACAGCCCCCTGTTTCCCCCTTATACACACACATACACAAACCAGAGCTCTTTCTATAAACTGTTTGAAACAAAGGATAAAGTCTTGGGTAGAGGTAAAAAGTAGAACGCCTGGTTAAACAGAATCCTTGGAAGAGTGAAGAAATCCAGGATTTCTTTCCCAAAGCTCTTGCCACACCCTCCCATTTTGAATGTCAAAAATCATAGTATATGGAATATTACTCAGCCATAAGAAGAGATAAAATACTGCCATTTACAACAACATGGATGGACCGCGAGATAATCATGCTAAGCAAAATAAGCCAGACAGAAAAAGTTGAAAATCACATGGTATCACTTATATATGGGATATAAACTTAAAATCAACAAATGAACAGGACAAACAGAGACTCATGGACTAATGGTTACCAGAGGGTAGGGGGAGGGGGTTGAGGAGGGAGGTGGATGCGGTAAAGGGGGTCAAATATGTGGTAGCTGAAGGAAACTGGACTTTGGGTGGTGAACACACAAGAGAATATAGAGATGTCAAATTATAATGTACACCTGAAAATTATATAATTATATTAACTAATGTTACCCCAATAAACTTAATAAAAAAATTAAAAAAAACATACTATAAAAGACAAAGTGAAAAATTGAAAGGAGTATGGGATTCTCACAAATCATATATGACATAAACTTTTACAGAGTGCAACTTCCACATGTTTCAAGTTTCAACTTGTCTATCTCATTGGCATATACTCCTCATGCCAGTGGGAATTTCTGTCTCTTGTTCACTGTTATGCCCCGGCAACTAGAATAGTTCCTGGCAGCTCAACAGCTACTTGTCGAATGAGTGTATGTTGGGTAAGGTGGCTTTCTAAGACAACTCTGAGGGTGGCTGGAGTGGAGATTTCAAGCCCCTCTCTTGGCTAGTCTTGAAGACTACAAAAAAATGGGTTTCTCTCTGTAGAAGGAAGTTGGCTGATCATTGTTGTCACTGGGAAATGAGAAGAACCTAAGGCCTACGTGGTACAGTGGTTTCCACTTTTAAGGAAGGATTTTATTCTTAGTGATAAGAGGGGCAGACCGCAGGAATAGCTAGGACTTTGATGCTTAGTCTGGAAGCAAAATTACTTCTGGGGTTTGACAAGAGGATTGGGATGGTTTGACAGGAGTGGCTTGCAGGAAAGGAAGAAACCAAGAGCTCAGTGAAATGGTATTAAAAGTCCTCAGTGAAGAAGGCAAAATTCAGATAGAAAACTGTAAAAAGAAGTCTTAGTTATCAGAGAGAAGGTACATTTGTGTAGTACAATTTCTCAGGGTAATCAAAGGATTACTCTGATAACTTTTCTTTCTTCAACCTCAACAAAAGGAAGACATATTAACTCTACTGCTAAAAGAATTAAACTAATAATATTGTACTTTTTAATTTAAATGTATATTTATTATTATGTTGAATCTTAGACCCTTGTCTCTCATCATGTACCCTTTGAGGACATTTGAGGAATGTGCATGATCAGGTCAATCAGAAGGGATCTGTGGTAGAAACACACTGCATATATGAGGGCAGTTGAGAGATCGTGGGAAACCCAATTGAACTCCTTTGTGCAATGCCAGGGAAATTTATACAAGTGCTCTTTAATGCCAGCTATGAAAATAAAACCAGCAGGGACAGACATAATCCAGAATGAGTTGGATGTGTCTTTATACAACTGGAAACAAGTGAGGTATTTCTTCTTGGCTAACTGCTAGCTTCTGCTGTCATTTTAATTACTTAAGCAACATTTTGTGTTCTGTCTACTGGACAGTGTTTATTTTGTGGCTTCTTATGGCATCTACTCTGAAGGTGAGCCTTTTCTTTTCACACAGGAAGGTCTTACCTTTCAATAATGATTGTTTAGAAGCAGAAAAATACTCTCTTCAAAATCTCTATTCTTTAGTAAAACGTAGGCATCATATTTGACTATGAAGTATTACAATGGTGAAAATTCAACTTGAACTTCAGACAGTAGATCGTCCGTAACTGCACTGTCCCTAAGGTGCCCACTCTCACCTGCATATGTCCTTGCTCAGGACACAAACACCTCAAAGAAACACTTGATATTTCACTTGCCTATAGGTAAGGTGACACTTCCACCTTTAGCTCACTGTCATAAGGTTTTTGATCTGCTTTCACTTCAGATTCCAAGATTATAAGCTCTTTCAAGGGGAAGGATCAACTATACATGTTCAATTCTGTCATTGCTTACTTATGCTACTCATATATCTACTAGGGGTTTTGATGACTTCACATGGCATCCCTTGTGGGTTGCATTGCTTCCTTGGGTAGTTCTACCAAGTAGAGGCCCCAGCAGCAGATGACTATTTGTCCTAGAGATTTATTTTCAAAAAGATACTCAGGCTCCACTGATGCAGCTGCTCCTGGTTCTGACCTTTCATAAGGACCCTTAGGAATTTTCAAAGGATGAGAGAATTAAACAGCATACTTCAAACATATATAAATGATATGCTTGCGGCATAAAAGAGAAAAAGAGTGGAAAGAACTCTTGAGAAGTGGCATTTTTTCTTACACTTGAGTTTGTTTGCTCTTTATATTACTTCTCGTGAACTAATAATCTCAGTTGTGCATGTGGATATCAACACAGAGAAACTTGCCAACCTGCTGGATACTTCTTGGGTTGAAGCTTATGGAAGCAAATCTTCTGTGCATGTATATAGATAATCACACTTTAAAAGAGAAGGAGATTCTATGACTAGCATCGGAAAAGGAAGTCTACAGTAAGTCACTTTTAAAAGGTTGAAAAGCTTGAATAAGGAGAGACAAGCCAGTAGTTTGCTCTCTTGTCACTAACTTATCATCCTCGTCGTTAGAAGAAAATAACAATGGCTGTCATTCCCACAGGGATGTGGTAGCATCCTAGAGAAATATGAGGACCAAAAATTTGTGTCCATGAAATGTTTTACCCAATAATCTCTAAATACTAGTTATTAAAATGGAGCTATGCCCACCTGACATTCTGATTTATAGGTCTCTTTACACATTGATGGTTTTCTCCAATTTGTGTTTCTGAGGTATAGATTGCCAAGTGGATAAAGCGATTGATTAGAACTGCACCCCTAAGGCAACTGTCGGTGGAATCAGCAAGTCATAAGAATAAAATGCATTAGTTATAATCCCTGAGCAGTCTTTCACATTCTGGAGGATTTAAAAGTTTCATTATTTTTCAGTGTTATCAAGGGTTCAATTCTTTTTTAAGATCACATTGGTTAGGTGTTCTTTGTTACACACAAAAAGACACAAAACAAAACAAAAACCAAATCACGCTCAATTATTTAAAAGCTGATGTAGAAAACCCAGTAAACATGAACTTTGCCATAGTGGAATTATAGTGTTTGTTTTTACTAATTTCACAATTTGACTCTATAATTTCTATTAATAAAATGAAGCCTTGCTAGTCACTTTGTTTCTCAGGGCCTCTGCTTCTTTGATATCAAATGAGGTTAAACTAAATGATTATTAAGGTGCTTTCCAGCTGTAAAATATTTGATTCTGTGATATTAACCTAAATCCCGTGAAAAATAATTAACAAATTGTAGAAGCAGTCTCACAGCATACTAATGGCAAATATGTTTTTTTGTTTCATGCAAGAAACAAAACTAAAGGACCTGAGCTCCACTGGAGAACATTTTTCATTCAATTTGAACAAATATAGATTAAAAAACAACAGAAGAGGCAACATTTACTTGGAAGGGCTGCATCTGAGAAAGAGTTTCATTTTTTAATATGAGAGAAAGTAATAATTCTTTTGAAGAAATACCAACAATAATCAGTTATTCACTTAAAGTGCCTGAGGGAGTGCTGACATTCCGTAAGTGTAAATAATAACAATAAAGATTAGTATTTTGTTTATCTCACAAACTAAAAGGGCACGGAATAAGTAGCATATTGAAACCAATATCCTACTATAGGAACATTAATCAATGTGATATAAACATCAAGAGTTGCAATATAAAGGCGTCTTTGATTATCTATAACCCCATTTCTTCTAAGTCGTTACTAATTTAGCATTTTTCAGAGCAGTGGCTTTGGATAGAGAATGTACAATCTTTTAAAAAATCAATTTTAAAATAGTCTGAAGTCATTACACTTTTAGCACCTTTCTAAAATTCTGATTTCATCGAAGGAAACCAAATGATGAATATTTGAACACATTTATAGGCTTGATTCTCCACGAATATATCCACAGCAAATATCTAACCTCTACTCTTTTCACCCAATTTCACAATTTTATGTGGATGAAAGTGTAAGCTGTCCATGAGTACTCTCATTTTCTTCTCTGGATTTGAAATCATTCCCAAACTGCTTTTTCAAATAATCATTACTAGAACCTTAAGAGGGCATAAGTGGGCATTGCACCCTCAGGCAGGGTCAGTTACCTGTGAAATTCTAGTCTCTTCAATCAACAGAGAAAATTTCCTATTGCCTGTAAATTCACTGATTTTCTGTACGAAATCTATTTTTAGGAAAAGAGAGCCGTACTTACGGGCAAAGAATTAGTTTTATTAGTCTGTGGCATTTGCTTTTTAATCAGCAACCTCTCTGAGTCTCATTTCATTTATACTGGGTACTGTCACAGTATTTTGAATCCGAACATTGACCTTAAGCTATTACTTTAAAAAAATGTAAGAAAGGAAAGCAGCTAAGTTTAACAAGGACGTTACAATTTATTTTATTATTCAAAGGGAGGTGAATTTTCTCCAGTTTAGATACTACTGGCTATAATTTGAAATAATTGTTAAGGCACGAGAGGCTTAAATCTGTAAGTCCAGCACAGATTGAAGTTTTAAATAATACAAAATAAGGACAAAGTTTGGAATTTTAAAAATGCAAATGTGTAAGTATCTAGTAGATGATCTGACCAACCAACCAACCAACTAACCATCCGACCAAAAAGCACCTGCAGATATTGGAAGACACAATAGGACTTTACAAACTAGAAACGTAATCTTCTAAACACTACAGTACTAAATATGCTCAAGTCAGGTGACAGTTTTTCCTTCCTCACTCTCTTATTTTACATTATATTTTTGTCTTAGACTAGAAACCAATGGGTTTAGTAGGGGAAAGACTAGCATAGCATTTGAGTGAACTGAAAGTGACAAAAATAACTTAAAGATGTAAAATAGTACCTGGTACATTACCTGCCCTCCTCTCTCTCTCTGCAGGTCTCAGAAACACCCACCCTCTGCCGTACTGTAAAGACTGTCCTGCTATCAGAAGGGTCTCTTTAGGATAGGTTCTTTCCTTCTTTCATAGCGGTGGTGACATAATACTGATTTCAACATGGTAGTTGTTATATAAGGTATGGCAGGGAGTGGATATGTGTGAGTATGTAAGTGTGTGTGTATGTGTGTATGTAACTTTTAATAAATCTCAACTGATAAAGCATAAGCATAGCTGTTTTAACATCCTGGGTAGGGGGAGATCAGTTTTTACTTAAGAGGCATATTTCTAACCAAGCAAAAGTGTAGCCTCTTCTCTGTGCAAATGCATTTCAAATCTACCCTGGAAAAGCTTCTATTCTTGAGTTCTTGTACCATGCCAATCACTAACCATTTTAAGTATGCTATTCCATTATTCCTCACCCTAGGAGAGAGATACTAGGGAAGAAGAATTAATGTTTAAGAGCATACACTTTGGAATCAATCAAATGTGCTTTCAAACCTCAGCGTCACCTCTTGCTTACTCTATAACTTCAGACAAGATCTAAACATCTCAACATCTTCATCTGTAAATTGGGGGGAAATGAGAAAATACACAAAAAGATAATAGGCAGAGTTATTAAGAGCTCAAAAGATTTTTGCTTCTATTAATATCTTCAGTGTACAGATGAGGAGACAGAAGTTTGGAGAAGCTACAAAAATGTACACACAGTTGGCAGGTGGTGAAACTAGGATTTAAACCAGTGTTTTATGGTAAAATTTATCTTTTCAACCCCTATTCTGGACGACCCTCTAATACAAGTTATTGTTTTATCCATTGGCATAATTACTACCCTAAAACCCCTACTTTAAGAAGGATCAAGAGAAAGCAACCTTTCCACCAAGGAACTGAACTTGTTTTTTTTTTTTTTTTAATAATCAGAGTTGAAATTTCTAATATCCTTAGTCGAATAAAGGATCTTACATGGCTTAAGGTCCAATTCCTTGCTTCCTAAACTGCTCTTTTTAAAATTAAGTGTCTTTGGGGGCTGTCTACTGAGAGGCCCAGAATGGAGCCTGAACAAGTTGCTTTGGATTCTCTAACCCCCACCTTGGTCATGAGCACCCCCATTTTACCTTTTGCTCACTTTAAGGAGAGTTTTTACCATTTCTGGCTGTAATTTCGCGCCTGTCAATCCAATGTGACAAAACAGGAGACCACTGTGGCAGGGCTTCAGGAGCAGCATGTGTCCTCAAGTTTCCCAATAATTGTTTTTTTTTTAATGTCAGATTTATAATTCTCTTGAAATTTTAGTCACATATCCTCTCCACTCCTCCCCCTAACATCTACTGAACATCCGTGGCAAAAGAAAACAAGAACCAATCCCGACAAATTGTGATTTTCCTCTACTAGATAAATACATGTTTTTTTTCCTCTTTGAGGAATAGGACAAGAGATAATCTCCTTGATTCATATTGGAAAGAGGGAAATTTCCTCTGATGACAGATTTAAACAGGTCTGTACATGTTTAGTTTTGTTTGGAGATCAGTATTTAATTTAGAAATGCCTCGAGAGTTAAGATTTCTAATATCTTTTAGGCTAATAAAGTAAGAATCTTATATGGCTTAAGAAAGGCACAGTTACCGTATCTCTTCAGTTCATCTGGTGCATGAAAAGCTATTCCATTTGCATTAAAGCTAAAAAATTTCCGGGCTGCAAAAGCCTGCAAGGTATAGGAGGACATCAGCTGCCTGAAGCTTTACAACATCAAGTGCAATTTGGGGAGGACAAAAAAGCAGCCAGATGAGTCTTTCCTTTTATGGGAGGAAGAAGGCTTAGTTTCTAACTTGGCAGAGTGGACTCTTTTAGAAAAAGAAGGCTCCCTTGGTTTAAATCCCAATTTCTAAATCTCTCTTGGGAGATGAAGGCTCTTCTTGTGTGCCTTTCACAATCAAACAGTTGGTTATAGCCTCTCCCCTCCATGGCTTTGAAATCCTCTCCTATTCACATGGTCACAACAAGACAGCCCTGGGGCAGGGATGGCAATTGATTCCTGGGCTCTGTGCTGGCAGGGTTCCACTGGGCGGAAGGGCTTCCAGCATTAGGCAGGGCTGCCCTTGGATTTACAAATGCCCACCACTTGTCTGAACAACAGCCCCACGCAATCTCCCTGTCCCCAGATAGCCTCTTGCTACATTAATTGCATCATTGATGCATTAAAAAATTAAAGTGACCTTTTTATTCTAAGGCAACCATTGGAAGCAGAAAATATTCAAGACTAGCCTTTGTAACTTAAACTGATAACACTGCTTTTATTTTACTTTGCAGTTGTGGTCTCTGTGAGCAATGAGAAGCATATCTAGTGTGTTTGTAAAGAGTTATGCTCTATATTTTTATTGCATCATTTGCTAGAAAAGAACTCAACAAGATTGCTTTGGCCAAGAGTCTTAATAGAAAGATGCTAGTTCAACTCTAATGGAATCAGTTTTCAATATTTGGTCAGTCCCCAAAACACTGATAGGCTTTGGACAAAGGGTTACTTTAAACAGCTATGAGTTTAACTTCTTTATTTAAAAACTAACCAACAATCAAACCAAACAGAACCCTCACATGATTATCTCATTACCACAAAGAGTTAATAAACAGCCACTGAATTAATTTGCCCTGTGCGACTCATAGCTGCAGTCAGAGCCCCAAGTTCATAATGCAAAGAGACAAATAGATTTGACCGGGTGCCTGTGCATCTGCTCACCTTCTCAACCTGTATGAAGTGCATCCAGGTGCTCCCTGACAAATAAATGACCCTGGCCTACTAACCCCTGGGGCATCTGCTTTGGGTTAGGCTGCAGTGACCTGGGAAATCCCCTTAGTGTGTGCAGATTTCACACTCGCCTGCTGAAGGCAGACAGGGACAATGCCTTGTGCGTGTGATCCCTGACAGACAGAACAGATGTACCATCTCACAGACAAATGGCCTTGAGAAACAGGCCGATCTCTCATGAACTTGAGTCCCAGCTGGGTGGGAGGAGTAGGGGGTACTGACCTGGAAGATGAGCACTTTGAAATGGTTGCGTCTGAGGAGCTGGGCATGGTTGTTCTCCAGCCTCTTCACCTGCGCGCATTGCCTCTCCATGCGCTCCTTGACCGCGCGCGTGTGAGCGCTGACCTTGCGGGACTTCTCCAGGAGCTTGCTTACCGTGTTGCTGGTGGAGGCCTGGTACTTGGAGAGCTTGGTGAGGTCGTTCTGGATGCCCTTCACAGAGCCCTCTAGGCTGATCTGCCGCTGTTCCATCTTGTGCTGGTTGTCCTGCACGGCATCTAGCATGTTCACCAGCTTGTCCAGGAGTGTGAGCACCGTGACGGCGTTCACCTGCGAGTTGTCCCGAATGGCCTCGTCTGTGCTCCCCAGGTTCAGGCTGGGGCTTGGTGTGGAGGAAGGCACTGGGCTGGGGCTGGCTGGCCTCTCCTGCCGCAAGCCAGAACCCGGCTGCTGGAACTTTTCAGCTTGTGCAGCGTCCTCCCCCATGGCTGGACAGGTGGGAACGTTCTTCTTGCTCCAGTGGGGACAGCGGTGAGGAGTGCAGAGCAAGGCCGGCTGGTTTGAGCTCAGAGCACCTCTCCAGGACTGGCAGAAGTTCAGACAGGCAACAACTGGCTACACTGATCTGGGGAACTGCATTCCAGCTGCTCTTAAAAGCCCTACTCCACCCAGTGGGAGGCGAAGGTTACAGAACTGAGAACTACTCAGAGTTCAGAAGTCCGCTCACACTTCCTAACCACATTCTCCCCAGCCCAGGGCACTTTCCTGCAGGTTTAGCTTTTCTTTCCCACTCCTCTTCCCTTTTAAAAATAAGTTCAAGCCATATTTCAATCATGACTTCATCTAGGGGCGGAGAAAAACATGCTAACCTGGCCCAGCTCCACAGCCTCCAATTGGCTAAAGCTAGTAAACTTTTCTCTGGCTGCTATGCTACAGATGCAACAGAGTGCCTGGTTGGGTTTTTTTTTTTTTTTTCCTTCCTGGATACAAGTTATTGTAACGGAAAGAATTGTTTGCATTTGTCCTAGAACTGACTGACGGGCTGCAGAACACCTCGTGTCCTGAGAGAGGCCAAGTTTAAAAGGTACTTGGAGCCAGCTTGTGTTGTTAATTTCCGAAGGCATGGAAGTAATCCTGATAATGACAAAGAAAACAGCCCGGTTCTTATTATTACCCTTGTAATTGGCCATGCGAGATAAGTCGAATGAGACTGAGCTTCAGGGATGTTAAAACAGAAATGCTGTTTTTGGACTGTTATCATGTAATAGATGGAAAATTTTTGAACATTTTTTTTTTTTTAATAAATATGGAATTTCTTTTGAGAAGTAAAATCGAAAGAGGAGTCTCCTTCCCCCAGTAAATAAATCCTGGTCTCTTTAAGAACCTACCATGCTTATTCGTTTTAAATAATTTTCAATCCCTACTGAGATTTTCTCAAATACCCATCTCTGTAAGGCATTTATTGACATGTGCCCAGAAGTGTGACTGTCAGGCAGGTTGAGTTGGAGTTTCTGAAGTGCTTCTAATGTTTGACATTTCCAAATTCCTGTTCAGTGAAGTGGCACACCTGTTCTAAAACATGGCCCTTCTCATCTGAGCCCTTGAGATGTGGGGCTTATTTCCTAAAACGACTTTACATGCTTGAATTGGTTTTAAATGTATTCAGCCCTCGAAAGTGCTT